CCCCCAGCTCCAGCAGGAAACCCTAGACCAGGGGTCTCCAACCTTGGCAACTTTAAGCCTGGCGGACTTCAACTGCTAAGCTGGCCGGGGGATTCTGGGAGTTGAAGTCGGCCAGGCTTAAAGTTGCCTAGACCATTGCAGACAAATGACTCTCCAATCTCTTCTTAAAAGCCTCCAGTTTTTAAACCGAGATGCCCAAAGGGTGCACAAAACCCTGATTCAGTGGCAAGCCATAATTTATACTTCCATTTTTCAAGCTTGGCCCCTGCCTTCCACTCAGTCTCGCCAAGTTTGCAAAAACATTAGTTTACAGGGTGTCAGGGCATATACAAACAGTATGGCAGCACCTCCTGAATGACAATGAGGAGATAGTTACAAGCATAGACTTCAGGAAACCACAAGGGAAAATAAAATTGGGGGCCGGGAAAGCCCCAAAATGGAAACGGGCGGGGAGGGGGGGGGAGAGAACGAAGAGGTGCGACGCTGACTTAGAAGAAAAAAAAAAGAAAGAAACTTTTACATTGCCACGTCGTTTTTTGCAGAGGGCTGCTTGCAGAATTCGCGGCGTGCTCTGAAGTTTGCATTTTGCAGGTGGCGCTTTCGATCCGGTCTGGGGTTTTCTTGCTTGCAATTTGGGGCTGGGGGGCTGGGGAGAAAGTCTGTATTTTTAGGGCAGGTAGAGAAGCTAGTATACTAAAAAGCAGAGACACCCCCCTGCCAACAAAAGGGCGTAGAGTCAAGGCGATGGTTTTCCCAGTTGCAATGTATGGCTGTGAAGGTTGGACCAGAAGGAAGGCTGAGCGCCAAAGAATGGAGGCCTTTGAACTCTGGGGCTGGAGGAAGAGACTCCGGCGAGTCCCTTGGACTGCAAGGCCATCCAACCGGTCAGTCCTAGAGGAGATCAGCCCTGGCTGCTCTTGAGAAGGCCAGATCCCGAAGAGGAAACTCAAAGACTTTGGCTACCTCATAAGAAGGAATGACTCGCTGGAGAAGAGCCGAATGCTCGGAACGATGGAGGGCAATAGAAGAAGAAGAAGAAGGGGACGGCAGAGAAGGAAGGGGCTGGGTGGAGTCCCTGAAGCAGGAGGCATGAGCTTCAAGGGACTCCGGAGGATGGTAGAGGACAGGAAGGCCTGGAGGAAGGTTGTCCATGGGGTTGCGATGGGTCGGACACGACTTGGCAACTAACAACAACAAAGAGTGGTTTGTCAATTGCACCGTGGCAGATAGGATGACGCTCCAGAGGGTGAATGTCATTGCCCAGAAGATCCTGGGCTGCCCTCTCCCCTCTTGGGAAGAGCTTTAGAGCTCCCGCTGCCTTCAGAAAGTTCAAAACATTCTCAAAGATCCATCTCATCCTGGGAACCCCCCCCCCTTTTTTTTGAACTATTACCACCTGGCAGACGGTACAAGATAATAAAAACAAGGACAAACAGGCTGAAGAACAGTTTTTATCCCAGGGCTGTCACCGGCTCTTTTGAGTTCTACTGTGTAGTGCCATATTCATGCCATATCAGGGGTTTTCAATTCAATGGGCGGCGTGTGAAAGGATGTGTGTTTGTGTGTTTATTTTCATGGCACTGAAGGTGGTGTTTGATTGCGTTGTATGAGATGCAAGGACAATAAAAGTCAAAAGTAAGAGAAGCCAGAGCAGAAACTGCCCCTGATAGGTGCTGGACCTGAACTCAGAGCCGAGGAAGAGCTGGGTGACCCCGGTGGTGGCGGCAGCATCTTCTCCTCCTCCTCCTCTCCCTGCACGAGGGATGTGGGGCCTCGGGGACGGTGCCGAGCGAGGCTTTTTGACGGTGCCGGCAAAGCAGCGGAAACGGCAGCTGGGCCCTGCTCGCCCGATTGCTCGCTCGGCAGGAAAGGGAAACGGGGGCCCCGTTCTGGAGAGTGATAATCTTTGGGGGCTTCATCTCCCGGATGGAAGCCGCCCTCTCTGCATCCGTTGCTGCTGCTGAGGCCAGAAGGAAGCCTGGAGGCTCCAGGAGAGTGGGGGGCCTTGGGGTCTCTCCGTGAGGCCTGGGTGGCTCTTCAGAGAGCTTTCCCCACCCCCACCCCCAGCCTCTGAGTAGCCCAGAGGAGTTTATCGGGATGCATTAATCGTGCCTGAATGCATTTATTGATTTAATTATTATTTATTGATTGAATGCATTTATTGATTGAATGCATTTATTTATTTACTATTTTTATTTATTGAATTATTTATTGAATTATATATTGAATGTATTATTTATTTATTGTATGTGTTTATTTATTTATTGAATGTATTTATTATTTATTTATTTATTATTTATTGAATGCATTTATTTATTATTTATTTATTGTATGTGTTTATTTATTTATTGAATGTATTATTTATTTATTTATTTAATGTATTTATTATTGAATGCATTATTTATTTATTGAATGCATTTATTTATTTATTGAATGCATTTATTTATTATTTTTATTTATTGAATTATTTATTGAATGATATATTGAATGTATTATTTATTTATTATTTATTTATTGTATGTGTTTATTTATTTATTTAATGTATTTATTATTTATTTATTTATTGAATGCATTATATTTATTTATTATTTATTTATTTATTGAGTGCATTATTTATTATTATTTATTTATTATTATTCAAGAGGTTGGACAGCCATTTGTATGAAATGGTATGAGGCCCCTTGCTTGTGCGGGGGGGGGGGGTTGGACTAGAAGACCTCCAAGGTCCCTTCCAATGATGATATTCCACTATTCTTCAATTTACAACTTCAATTGAGACCAGAAATAAACTTATTATACGAAGAACGGTTGCAGGAACTGGGTATGTCTACTCTAATGAAAAGAAGGACCAGGGGGGACATGATAGCAGTGTTCTGAGGGGCTGCCCCCCAAAAGAGGAAGGGGGTCCACTTATTCTCCAAAGCACCAAAGAAGGCAGGACAAGAAGCAATGGGTGGAAACCAATCAAGGAGAGAAGCAACTTAAAACTAAGGAGGAATTTTCTAACAGTTAAAACAATTAACCAGTGGAACTACTTGCCACCAGAAATTGTGGGGGCTCCATCACTGGAGGTTTTTAAGAAAACGCTGGAGAGCCACTTGTCTTAATTGCTATTTGCAGGTAGTCCTCAACTTCCAACCATTCGTTTAGGGACCGAAGTTACAACGGCACTGAAAAAAGGGACTTATGACTGTTTCTCACACTTACGACCGTTGCAATATTCCTGTGATCAGGTGATCCAAATTGGGACGCAGGACAACTGACTCATTTTCACTTAACGATTCCCATCCTTTACTTAACAATTGCGGGCAAAAATCGTAAAACCGGGCGTGCCTCACTCAACAGCGGTCTTTCTTAGTGATGGCGGTTCCGGTCCCGATTGTGGCCGTATGTTGAGGATTCCTTATAAAATGACCAATTTAGCTGAGAAATGGCTGGGGCTGAAAATGAACGGGGCTGAAAACCTATGACCTCAGATCCTTATTGTGGCTGAGCAGGAGACAGGAAATGTGTGTTTTTTTTCTGGACTTAAGTGGACAAGCAAATTCTTTAGAAGGTGGTGCCTCCACAAAGGGAAGATGTGGAATCTCATCATCATCATTATCATCTTCATTTAATGACCCCATAATCCCTTGTGGGGTGGAGTTTGGGCAACTGAATGGAGCTGAGTATTTTCTGGCCGGATGCCCTTCCTGTCACCAGGGTGGAGTCATATTCAGCAGCTATATTCTCATCCGTGTGCCCAGAGAGAGAAATATCTGCCTCTAACTAGAATTGAACTCACAGCTTCCTGATTGTGAGGCGAGAATTCCACCTCTAGGGCCACCACTCCAAGATGCGGAATCTAATCTCCGGTTGAAAATAACTAGGGTAACAGAATTGGAAGGGACCTCGGAGGTCTTCTAGTCCAGCCCCCTAAATGTGAACCGGGTACCCACTGTGGCACAATACACTAAAAGTTTAGATAAAGCGGGACCAGGTCCTGCGTGTTACGAATAAAAAGTAGGTTTTATTTTGGGGGAATTTGCTTCTTTGGAAAACTAGGCCTGTTTCTGTTTTCGTGATAGTCCGTAAAGCCTGTTTTTAATTTTAGACTTAAGTGCCTTTGGTGTGAATGGATTAGTTTGATATAAAGGCCCTTCTTAGGTGTGGATTGAGGAGGTGCAAATCATCTGAGTTCTGAAAAAAATGGGAAAGCACTTTAAGAGAGGTGGACTTCAAGTCCACCTCTCTTAAAGTGACCAAATTTGAGAAACGCATCCTTAAAAGTCCAAACTCTGCCAGCTGCTTTGCAAATGACAACCTTCCAACCTTGCTTGGGGAGAGAAGCACCCCCCACCCCCGCTTAATGCCACCGATCCTCCACCTTCAGAGGCCGTCTACCTTGGAAACGCCCAATCCTCAAGGCAGAGGACCCACCAACGCCCGCCTCATGTTCTTGGTGCTTTCCCTGGCTGCACATCTGCCAGCCAGCTGTTGCCTTTGGAAACACAGAACCGGATAGGAAAGCCTCCATTTTGTTTGTTGTTGTTGATTCCTACCTCTGGCAGAACTACAACTATGGGGAATCCCTGGCTCCATATCGCCCCTCTAAAGACCAAAATAGCCCTGTAGGACGGAGAGGGGGGGGAAGCAGGCAGGCAGGGGTCTGGCTGCCCTCTCCCCCAGTCCTAATGCAATCCCACAATCGCAGGGAACAGCCCCCCCTCCCACACACAAAAAAGACTGGGATTTGTGCAACGTCTTGGTCTTTTTCCCAGTCTGCTCCCTCCTTGCAGTCCAGCCGAGCTGGTGCCAGCTGGGTGAGTCACTGGCATTTTCACACACCTCCCCCCCAACCCTACCCTCCTTAACTCAGCCTGGACTGATCTGCCCTTAAATTTATTCTCGGTTTTATAAGTTGGTGGTTTTTTTTTTGGACCCAGGTTTGAATGCTGCGCAGTACTGGGGAGCGGTGTGTGTGTGTGTGCAATAGAATAGGGGAGCCTGAATCTATTCCCCCCCCCCCCCCCCCCCCCCCCCCCCCGCCTATCCAGCTGAGAAGTTGTGGCATTTTCAAGAGTTTAGTTTAGTTTACTTTTATCGTCGTTGCACCTGGTACAACAAAATTAAATGCCATCTTTAGTGTACATTGTGACCATGAAAATAAACACAAACACGCATCCTTCACATTCCATGCCCTTGAATGGAAAACCCCTGATATTGCATTAATACTGCACGATAGAGTAGAATAAAATAGAGATGCTGCCCTGGGATAGAAGCTTTTTTTCAGCCTATTTGTCCTTGTTTTTATTATTGCCCTGTACCACCTTTTCTTTCCTTCTTTCTTTTACTCCTTTCTTTTCTTTTCTTTTTCTTTCCTTCCTTCCTTCCATCTTTCCTTCCTTCCTTCTCTAAACATCTAAACCCTGAGATCCAAACTACCAGATGGTAATAGTTAAAAAAAAGAGGGGGAGGGGAGTTTTCCCAGGGTGAGATGGATCTTTGAGGATGTTTTGAACTTTCTTAAGGGAGTTGTAAAGCTCTTCCCAAGAGGGCAGAGGGCAACCCAGGATCCTCTGGGCAGTGACGTTCACCCTCTTAACCCTTAAGAGGGGGGTGGATTTGGATCTCAGGGTTTAAGTGTATAGAGAAGGAAAGAAGGAAGGAAGGAAGGAAGGAAGGAAGGAAGGAAGGAAGGAAAGAAGGAAGGAAGGAGGGAAAGATGGAAGGAAGGAAGGAAAGAAGGAAAGAAAAAGAAAAGAAAGGAAGAAGTAAAAGAAAGAAGGAAAGAAAATAAAATAAAAAAGAAGGGAGGATGGAAAAGAAAGAAAAGAGAAAAGGAAGGAAGGAAAGCAAGGGGAAAAGAAAGAAAGGAATGAAAGAAAGAAGGAAAAGCAAGCATGCCAGAAAAGCATGAAAGAAAAGAAGGAAGGAAGGAAAAGGACAAGAAAGAGCGTTTGAAAGCCAATCTGTCCTGCAAAGGAATGTCAGAAATCAGTTGGACCAGCCCTTCACAAATCACAGCCGAGATTTGCATAACTGTCCGTGCCAGGATGCCTCGCATGGCCGCCTTGCCTCGCCTCGCCTGCCTGCCTACCTGCCTGGAACCCGCCTGCTTCCTGTGCAGCCCTCGGCCTCCACCTGCCTGCCTGCCACGCAGAGCTGCTACTTCCCTGCTGTTCCTGGAACCCTCCAGATTCGAGTTCACCCCCCCCCCCCCCCCAGCCCCAAGGTTGTTGGCCTGCATTTTTGAAAAGCCTCGTGCAAAATATGTGCCGAGTTGGCAGCGCCACAAAGGGTCACCTGCCTTTTGGTTTTTTTGCAAAGGTGGGATGCAGAGAGAGAGAGAGTGGGGGGGAGGGAGAGAGAAAGGGAGGGAAGGAGGAAGAGAAAAAAAGAGGGAGAGAGAGAGAAAGAAAGAGAAAGTTGGGGAGAGAAAGGGTGGGAGGAAGAGAAAAAAGGGAGAGACAGAAAGAGGGAGCGAGGGAGAGGGAGGGAGAGAGAAAGAGGGAGGGAGGGAGGGAGGGAGGGCAGGGAGAGAAAAAAGAGGGAGAGAGAAAAAAGGGAGGGGGAGAGAAAGAGAAATAAGGAGAGTTAGGGAGGGAGAGAGAAAGGGAGGGAGAAGGAGGGAGAGAGAAAGGGAGGGAGGAAGAGAAAAAAGGGAGAGAGAGAGAGAAATGGAGGGAGGGAGAGAGAAAAAGTGGGAGGGAGGGAGGGAGGGAGGGAGAGAGAAAAAAAAGCTCTGCTGGCTGAGGAATTCTGGGAGTTGAAGTCCACAAGTCTTAAAGTGGTCAAGGTTGGAGACCTCTGCTGTATGGTAACCTGTGGACTTCAATTCCCAGAATGCCTGAGCCACTCATGCTTGGCTGAGAAATTCTGGGAGTTGTAGTTCACAGGATGCCATAATTGCCCATCTCTGACCTACACAGACCACTGGTCCTACCTGATAAATATGGATTATTTTGACAGGCCTGTCAAAATAATACTTAGATTATTTTGATTATGTTTTGATAGTTTGATATTTTGAATATGTAGAATTATATTTTGATTATGTAGAATTATGTAGATTGTGTAGAATTAGAATAGACCTAAAATGGACGCCTAACATCCAAAACGTCATCACAAAAGCACAACAAAGAAGGTTCTTTCTGCGCTCAAACTTCAGGAAGCTCAAACTGCCCAAGGAGCCGCTGATCCAGTTCTACAGATGAAGGATTGAGTCTGTCCTCTGCACCTCTATCACGGTCTGGTTCGGTTCTGCAACCCAACAGGACAGACAGAGACTCCAGAGAGGATAATTAGGACTGCAAGAAAAACAATTACTACCAACCTGCCTTCCATCGAGGACCTGTATCCTGCACGGGTCAAAAAGAGGGCTGTGAAAGTATCTACAGACCCCTCACATCCCGGACATAAACTGTTTCAACTCCTTCCTTCAAAACAACACTACAGGGCCCTGCACACCAGAACAACTAGACACAAGGACAGTTTATTCCCCCTGAACGCCATCGCTCTGCTAAACAAATAATTCCCTCAACACTGTCCAACTATTTACAAAGTCTGCACTACTATTACTGTTAATCTTCTCATCACTCCTTATCGCCCATCTCCTCCTCCCGCTTGTGACTGTATGATTGTAACTTTGTCGCTTGTATCCTTACGATTTATATTGACTGTTTCCTAGTATGATTGGATTGCTTATTGTACCCTATGACTATTATTAAGTGTTGTACCTGATGATTCTTGAATCTTGATGAATGTATCTTTTCTTTTATGTACATTTGCACCAAGACAAATTCCTTGTGTGTCCAATCACACTTGGCCAATAAAGAATTCCATTCTATTCTATTCTTATTCTTATTCTATTCTTATTGTACCCTACAATTATCATTAAGTGTTGTACCTGATGATTCTTGATTCTTAACGAATGTATCTTTCTTTTATGTATACTGAGAGTGTTCCCCAAAAAGATTTGGGGGTCCAGCAGGAATCTCCTTATCTACCATATTTCCCCGAAAATAAGACCAGGTCTTATATTAATTTTTGCTCCAAAAGATGCATTAGGGCTTATTTTCTGGTTAGGTCTTATTTTGGGGAAAATACGGTACTAAATGCATCCATTTAGCTGACAATCTTAACTGGGGCTTATTTTCAGAATAGGGCTTATATTACGAGCCTCCTGAAAAATGCTTAGGGCTTATTTTCCAGTTTGGTCTTATTTGGGGGAAATACGGTTCTAAATGCATCCGTCTGGCTGCCAATCTTAACTGGGGGTTATTTTCGGGGCATTTTTATAATTACGAGCCTCCTGAAAAATGCTTAGGGCTTATTTTCCAGTTGGGTCTTATTTGGGGGGAAATACGGGTCTAAATGCATCCGTCTAGCTGCCAATCTTAACTGGGGGTTATTTTCAGGGTTGGGCTTATTTATTATGAACATCCTGAAAAATCATGCTAGGGCTTATATTCCAGTTTGGTCTTATTTTCAGGGAAACAGGGTGGTTAGTCCTGGTTTAGCCACCGCCTCATTTACAATCTTCACAGGTTCATAACGGAAAAGAACCCTGAAGTTTCTTCGTAGGCACAGTTGCGGCTTCCCTTAGCGACCGTTTCATTTAGCGACTGAGTTGCCGATTGTAGTTGCTAAATGAGGACTGACCTGTACAGCCAAGAGGGCGCAAGGCTGTGTTTCCCCCAAACCTCGAGCCATTAGAGCCACGCATCTGCCTTTCCCTGGTACCAAAATTCTGATCTTTGCACGGTGTTTTTCCTGCACTGCTTATCTGATCCATGCTGGTCTTTCTCTTTTGCAGTTTCCTGAGTGCGGGTTTTATGGCCTCTACGATAAAATCCTGCTGTTCAAACATGACGCTTCAACAACCAATATTTTACAACTGGTTCGAGCCGCCTCTGACATTCAGGAGGGTGACTTGGTAGAGGTGGTTCTCTCAGGTAAAGTGCCTCGGTTAGAGAAGGCAGTGAACTGATGATGTTACCTAGCTGGGTCATGAAACGTCTGCAAGAAAATCACCAAGCTCAGGGAGCACCAAGGACCCCACAGTCCTTATCTTTTCCTTTCTCCTGCTCTTCCTCTCCTCCTCCTCCTCCTCTTCTCAACTCCCCCAATTTAAAAGCAAGTTTAGCAATCAGGTAAATGCATCAGCAGCTAAGCTTGGTTGTTTTTAATTTGGAGTACATTTTTTTTAAAAAAATCTTTCTTTGCAGGCTGTGTGAATCCAGCCCCTTCTTGTTAGTTTATAGAGCCGATCATTTGCACTAGAATAGCTAAATTAAACAATATGTACAAGTAGATGATAGATAGATAGATAGATAGATAGATAGATAGATAGATAGATAGATAGATAGATA